TAAATCCCACTTGCCACTTATTTGAATTGGTTTGGCCTAGCGGCTTCGTGGACGCGGCTCCAAAAGGGCCGATCGACTAGAGGGCGCCATTTGCATATCGTCAGGGGTCCCTTTAGCGGGCGGAAAAGTTTGGTGACTATTTCAGACAATGGAATCAATTGCGAGTGGGATCTCCATATCTCAGCTCTGGAAGGCTCTAGAGCCTCCAAACTTGCAATCCTGTCTTAGTCTAAGTGCTTTCTATCAGAATCCAGAGTTTCAAGAAGATTGGAGAAACTTTTTTTTTCGACCGAAAAAAACTCCAAGGGGGGTATACGTAGGTTCGTGGACGCGGCTCCGAAAGGGCCGATCGGCTAGAGGGCGCCATTTGCATATCGTCAGGGGTCCCTTTAGCGGGCGGAAAAGTTTGGTGACTATTTCAGACAATGGAATCAATTGCGAGTGGGATCTCCATATCTCAGCTCTGGAAGGCTCTAGAGCCTCCAAACTTGCAATCCTGTCTTAGTCTAAGTGCTTTCTATCAGAATCCAGAGTTTCAAGAAGATTGGAGAAACTTTTTTTTTCGACCGAAAAAAACTCCAAGGGGGGTATACGTATACATACACACCTTAAAGTTTTTTTGGTCAGAAAAAAAAGTTTCTCCAATCTTCTTGAAACTCTGGATTCTGATAGAGGGCACTGCGACTAAGACAGGAATGCACGTTTGATGGCTCTAGAGCCTTCCAGAGCTGAGATATGGAGATCCCACTCAATAGGGATCCCATTCAATAAATTGCAGATGGACACAGATCCCACTTGCAATTTATTGTATGGGAACACTTTAAGTGGTAAGTGGACAATCATCCCACTAAACTCTTATAGCGATCCTATTCATTAAATGGCAAGTGGACACATGTCCCAATTGCAATTTATTGTATGGGAAAGCTTTAAGTGGTTAGTGGACAATCATCCCACTATCCTATTATAGTGATCCCGTTCATTAAATGGCAAATGGACACATGTCCCACTTAAAATTTAATTGTATGGGAACACTTTAGGGGGTAAGTGGACACTCATCCCACTAATCTATTATAGTGATTCCCATTCATTAAATGGGAAATGAACACTTGTCCCACTTGTAATTTATTGTATGGGAACACTAAGTGGTTAGTGGACAATCATCCCACTAAACTACTATAGCGATCCCATTCATTAAATGGCAAATGGACACATGTCCCACTTGTAATTTATTGTATGGGAACACTTTAAGGGGTAAGTGGACAATCATCCCACTAAACTACTATAGGGATCCCATTCAAAAAATTACAAATGGACACAGATCCCAATTGCAACTTATTGTATGGGGTCGGTTTAAAAAGTTGGTGGACAATCATCCCACTAACCTATTATAGGGATCACATTCAATAAACTGCAAATGGACACAGATCCCAATTGCAGCTTATTGAATTGGAACGCTTTAAGTGGTTAGTGGACAATCATTCCATTAACCTATTATAGAGATCCCATTCATTAAATGGCAAATGGACACTTGTCCCACTTGCAATTTATTGTATAAGAACACTTTAGGTGGTTAGTGGACATTTGCCCACTTTAATGGGTAATCTGAGAAATATTGGGTCTGTGGGATGGGGGCGTGGCTTGGCTTGGCAGTCATCAGCAGGGCATTTGCCCACTTTAATGGGTAATCGGACAAATAGTGGGTTCGTGTGATGGGGGCGTGGCTTGGGAGTTGTCAGCGGGGGTCCGGGGGTTATTGCGCACATTAGTAGGTAATTGGACAAATAGTGGGTTCGTGTGATGGGGGCGTGGCTTGGGAGTTGTCAGCGGGGGTCCGGGGGTTATTGCGCACATTAGTAGGTAATTGGACAAATAGTGGGTTCGTGTGATGGGGGCGTGGCTTGGGAGTTGTCAGCGGGGGTCCGGGGGTTATTGCGCACATTAGTAGGTAATTGGACAAATAGTGGGTCTGTTGGATGGGGCGTGGCTTGAGACTGATCAGCGGTGGTCCGGGGGTCATTGAGCACTTTAGTGGGTAATTGGGAAAATAGTGGGTCCATGGGAAGGGGGCGTGGCTTGGGAGAGGTCAGCGGGCGTCCGGGGTTCATTGCACACTTTAGTGGGTAATTGGACAAATAGTG